TTGTCTCAAAATGAAAAAACAAAAAGGGCTAAGGATGTGGCTCAGTGGTTAAGCACCCTGGGTTCAATATCCCTGGTACCAAAAAAAAAAAAAAAAAAAAGTTGAAAAATGTATAGAAAAATCACTTCTTGCTGATTCAGAACCAGTCCCCTAATAGTTTACAGAATCTGGTGTGTGTGTGTGCCTGCGCTCATGCACATGTATATATTTGTACATGTGCACTTGCATGCACTTATACATGGTACTGGTGATCAAACCCAGGGCCTCAAGCTTACTGGCAAAGCTCTACCACTGGTGGAATCTGTTTAATTTTATACAAGATGCACTGATAGGCTAAAGAGAGATAACAAAAATAAAACTAAGCAATGATTCAAGCATCAGAAGTAAAGAGACAATATATTTTTCTGGAACATCCAGGAAGTCAGTCATCAAAATGTAGTGAAGATGCATTTTTCTTACAAGAAAATCTCAAAATTCCAAAAAAGGGGGACAATTTTGTGAAAGTCTCTATAATACTAAATTTAAATTGTGATGAATAAAAATGCCTTTATAACAACAAAGGGATAGCATCCACTCCTTCCAAGTTTCTGTCAATTTAAATGTACCTAAAGCACTATTACCAGAAGATACGCTGGTTTTTCCTCAGACTGTTTTAGTATACCTTTGAAAAGCAAGACCCTCAAAATCAGTTCTTAACTGAAACCTGCTCTTTTCATTTTTCAAGTTTCACAAATGGCAAAGGAACAGAAAATTCAAATATATTATTAAAACTCTTCATTAGGCCCTACTCCCAGTCAGCCAGATCTTTTATTTTAAGGAAATGGCTCAGGATAAAGCAAAAGTGACTCCCTCCCTGTTTTCTGATTAGATGTAGTGCTTCCCTAGCTAGAGGATAGGATCTTTGCTTCCCAGTATCACCAACTCTGCCAGCACACTGAAGTTGGTATTCCCTTATTATTCTAGAGTACGGAGAGTATGACTAATGAAATCAGGTTTTCAAGTCAGGGAACAACTATAAAGACTGTATAGAGATGAATCTTCCCTCTACCTTTATTTATTTATTTATTTATTTATTTTGGTCAGGGGAGTAGTGGGGAGTGAACCCAGGGGAGTTTTACCACTCTGGTACATGCCCCCCTTTTTAAATTTTGAAAAAGGTTCTAAGTCACTAAGAGTCTCACTAAATTGCTGAGGCTATTCTTGAACTTGTGATCCTCATACCTCAGTTTCCCAAGTCACTGGGATTACAGATGTGAGCCACTACATCACCTCTGTGTATGTTTGAGGGTGGGGGTTCTGGGGATGAAATCTATGCTCACAATCACTCTATCACTGAGTTTTATCCCTAGCCCTTTTCCTCTCCTATCCTACTTCTTTCAACACTAGAAATCCCCTTAATTATCATAGATATGAGAAGAGTTGGCTTTCCCTTCAATCTACTACAAATAAGAGCAGAGATCAGCTGGGTATGGTAGCACCTGCCTGTAATCCCAGCAACTCCAGAAGCTGCAGCAGAAAGATTGCAAGTTCAAGRCCAGCCTCAGCAAATTTAGCAAGACCCTGTCTCAAATAAAAATATTTWAAAAAAATGGTTAGTGATGTAGCTCAATGATAGAGTACCCCTGGATTCAATCACCAGCACTTTTTCTTTTTTTTCTCCCCTGAAGAAAAAGTAAATTGAGCTCTAGGGAAAAAAACCACCAAGACAAAGAAACATACAAAAGACAATTACTAGCCAGGCTCAGTAGCACACACCTGTAACCCCAGCCACCTGGAAGACTAAGATCACAGGTGTGAGATCAGATTAGATAATTTAGTCAGACTCTGTCTCAAAATAAAATTAAAAAGGCTAGGGGTGTAAGCTCAGTGGTAAAGCATTTGCCTAGCATGTGGGAAGCTCTGGGTTCAAGTCCCAGTGCTACAAAAACAAAGAAAACAAAACTCCACCACCCTGTACTTGAGATCTGAGACCCTTAAAATAGTGTTCCTATATTCAACTGGAATAAGAAGACTCTAGGCTGAAGTGTAGGCAGGGGACACTGAAGATAGGATGGAATAGAGAAAAGTGTTTCTGGACGTGCCCATAGAGAAGTCACAGAGTAGATACCCTAGCCTATTGTACTTCTCTTTTTTTTAATATTTATTTTTTAGCTGTAGATGGACACAACACAATGCCTTTATTTTTATGTGGTGCTGAGGATCGAACATGGGTCCCTGCCCGTGCTAAGCGAGCGCTCTACCGCTGAGCCACAATCCCAGCCCCCCCCCTACTTCTCTTAAAGCTTAATCCATGTATTTGTTTACATTTTTTTGACCCAAAGACCATCACTATGAATTTACCTTAAAGACATGCTATATGTCTGAACTCATTCATGGTAGCATTATCTATAATAAAGGAAAAACTGTAAACAACCTACAAGTCCCAATATAAGTCCTATTAAGAAATTATAAAGATCAAAGAGAAACATGGATAATATTTACTATATGGGAAATAGAAAACTAAAGGACACACCATCACAACGCATGCATGCTTGCTTGGTTCCTTCTTTTTGCAGTACTGGGAATTGAACACAGGACATTCTATCTCTAAGCTACATTCCCAGTCCTTTTTAATGTCTTAAATTTTGAGACAGAATCTAGCTAAGATGTCCAGGCTGGCCTTGAGCTTGTGTTCCTCTTGCATCAGCCTCCTGGGTAGCTGAGATTACAGGCATGAGCCACCATGGCTAGCCACAATGCTTTATTTATTTATTTAGTTAGTTAGTTACCTTTTAGTTTGCTACTTTTTAAAACTAAAATTACTTAAAACATTTTAAGGTGCAAGTATCATTCATTATGGTAATAGGTGATAAGGATCAAATGCGATGCTATAAATCAGATCTAAAACTCCCCTGGCTATAAAGGGGAAACAGGAAGCCCAAACACCCCGAAGCACAAAGGACATACTGATATCACTGATCACAAGAAAGTAGTCCATTTATATGAAATCACTGTGGTAGTTAGTATGATGAACTGGGAAACTGCAACCATAAGGAGGCTATAAGAAAGCGTGCATGAAGTGTCTTTCAACTTATTAGGATATATTTATTATAAGCACAGTGCAGCAAGCTTTTATAGACAAAACCTCATAACTGCTAGTAAGGAAGGCTATGCAGAGGTAGTTGGGCCTGCAATAAAAAAGACCACCACAAATGGAATCAGGTATTTATATTACCCCACAGTGAGGTTCCCTCCTTACACAATGCCAGTTCGATGAAACAAACTGCTCAACGGAACATAATAGCTTCTGCTTAACCTAAGTACACAAAATTCTGGTAAATTATTTTAGGCTACAATCTAATAACCTTTCATAATCTTTTACTGCAAGTCAAAAAGAATACAGCCCATAATAAAACATGTATGCATAAAAGAACAGGAGTTGAATATTTTAGAATAAATAGGAAAGGCTTATAGCTATTTATAGTAGAGAAGGATGACATATGTAGCCTTAGAATATTCTAAAAATGCAAAATAGACTGTGAATGTTTTTTTGTTGTTGTTGTTTTAAACATCTTTCTCACTTCTAAGTGAATTATGCTTTAAATTACCAGGTACTTAATCTTTAACTGAAGAAAGATGTGGTAACAATAACTAAACATAATAATGTTTTTTTTTTCCTGCTTCTGAAGGCCTTAAAATAAAGCTTTTCTGGGGCTGGGGTTGTAGCTCAGTGGTGGAGTGTTTGCCTAGTGCATGTGAGGCACTGGTTTGATCCTTAGCATCACATAAAATAAATAAACAAACAAATAAATAAAATAAAAGTATTATGTTAATCTACAATTAAAAAATATTTTTTAAATTATATATATTTTTTTTTTGAGAGAGAGAGAGAGAGAATTTTTTTAATATTTATTTTTTTAGTATTTGGCGGCCACAACATCTTTGTTTGTATGTGGTGCTGAGGATCAAACCCAGGCCGCACGCATGCCAGGCGAGCGWGCTACCGCTTGAGCCACATCTCCAGCCCCCAAAAAAATATTTAAAAATATATATCTAGCTTTTCTGAAAATCTTTTACTTTCTTTATAGTCTAACTACTACTTTTCACTGGAAACTGAGAAAATCAGCAGAAAATCATAAGTATAAAAAGAAAATGATGGAATGGACTTCTGATGTGTCTTGAAGAAGTGTCAGATGTTCATAGTCAGTCACACCCTATATAAAGGCCTAGAAAGAACCAAGGTTCACATTAGATGGGCATCCCTGTGGCAAACTCTTCACAGTTTTCAGATATATTTAGGTCCTAACCTAAGTGGGGTATTTCCACAGAAAATTTGTATTAGTATTTAAAATTTTATAGGGTACCTAAAAAATCCTATAATCCATAAAAGGAATGATATGTAATTATGAATGCAACATCTGTCCTAAATTTATATGAACTCTAAAATAGGAAGTCCTAATATTGTTGACCTTGAGACTCTCTGCCTTATATTTAACCCAAAACATTTATATACTTTAAGACATCTTTCTTGTGGTTTAGCTTCAAACTATGCAAAGGGTCACTGGCTGTTCTTAAATCTGTGTTATAATACTTCCTATAGGAAAGTGATAATACTCTAATTAAAAGGAATTCTTTTATGCAAAGCTTTCTGAAGTAGTCTTTGAAGACTGATTTACTAAATCTCATACTTCCTTGCAGTATACCTTGACTTAAATGAACTATGCAAATTTAGGTTTCCAAATGCCCAAAGCTCAGAAATTTATCTTCTGGTCTCATGCTATAACCATGACCTCAGCTAACCCACACATGCTTCTTCCAGACATTACTGAATAAAGCAATCAACCTTCATTATTGCAGGTAGCTGAACCCAGGTTAAAAAAAAATCAATTTTAAATACATTCCACAAAGCTTTACAGAAGCAAAACAAAACAAACAACAAACAAAAAAAAAATCACAATTATTAAAAAGCTGATTTTTGCTTAAAACACCAAGCAAGGAATGGACATATGAATATTCCTAACCTGCAAAATGATTCCTCCACATTATATCAGCGAAACTCATTGGTGGGCCACTGGGAGGGTAGTGTTTACCTTTCAGAGGCTCATGATCAGTCCTTATCATATCCATTAAGGAGTTCTCCAACGAGTGCAAGTTAAAAGTGTCATAGGGCCTACTCCGGTCCTAAAAATAAAAACACAGAACAAGACGATACATAAAATTACTTCATAAATACCAAATCATTTGCTTCCTGCTGTGGATTGATGATATGAATGAAAGTTTAAAATATTTCTAAAAACACAGTCCTTCCTTTCATTAAGACTAATGATTTGGCCTATTATATTTAATACTAGTTTCCAAAATTAATTAAATTGAATCCTCTTCCCTAATATTTTATAAAGTCAATGCCTCACTAATGGACACTGATTTTCTCTCAAATGAAGTGAAAAAGTAAATTCAAAAGGGTCAAGTGAATTAGCTTTGCCCTCTACCTTCCACCCCATGCCTCCATTGTTAAATGAATAGAAATTTCTCCCACCCCCAGAGGAGAACCACAATGTTAGTACTCAGTTTACAAACAGACTCACTTCTCTGAAGAATGAAAAGGTGATTATCATTTTAATGTAATTGTAATGGATATCTTTAATATTATGAGTGACAAATTCCATACTTCAGATACACCAATAAAAATGTGACCAAAGTACTAAAATTACCTTCAGAAAAGCACTAATAAAAAAATTTTAACTCAAAGTAGTATTTCCATGATGTGTAAGTAAAAAACAATTTGAAAAGGGAAAGCTACTACAAACTAAGTGAAAAAGGGGGAAAAACAAAAACAAAAACAAAAAAACCTGTTCCACCATATTTCACTCCAGCCCACCAGAGACCATAAGCTACAAGTTCTTCAAGTCTAAACCTAATGGGAAGTGTAGTTTATGGCCTAAGGTAATTCTATAAAATAGACTTTGATTGCTTTATTTAAGAAAGGCAAGAGTCTGACAACGTGGGAGGCTGAGGCAGAAGGACTGTAAGTTCAAGGCTAGCCGGGGCAATTTAAAAAGACCCTATCTCAAAATAGGAAAGAAAAAAAAAGGGGGGGGGGCTAGGGGTATCACTCAGTAGTAAGAGACCTTTGGGTTCAATCCTTAGTACTACCAAGAAAAAATAAAAAAACAACAACAACAAAAAAGAAAAAGACATACATCTCAACAGCCAAATCAAATCAAACTACAGTGTACAATTTATCCAGCCTTGCACTAGATCACTTACCCCTCTCCAATGAACAGCACTCATTAGTTTCTTTATCCTCGGATAGGAAAGAAACATAGGTTTTTATTGCTGTTCTCCAGTTTGGTTTCTATATAACTCAAGGTTTTTTCTTTTACCTTTAAGGTCTTCTGACAGATCATTTGTTTTGCTTTGGGTTTACATTATCAGTGGAAGCTCTAATTACTTAAGCAGTGAAGCTGAACTTCCAGAAATGCAGGCTTATCTATCCCCATAAGAAGTATCATATTCTTTCTCCACAGAAAAATCCAGAAGTAAACAAGTATGCTGATGAGGAGGCAAAATGACAACCTATTTCTGGCACTGACAATCCCATAATGAATATCTAGGCGCCTTCTATCATAACCACACTTCTAACTAGAATACATTTCTAACTGTAGATATGAGATCCTTTCAGAACAGGCTGAAAGGAAACTGTAAGACAAGACTGATGGCATTCAACAATCTTTCCAGTCAGGACATTTCTATTTTTTCATCTAATTCTTAATATAATCTTTCACATACCCATTTTAAATATAAAGAAGGCAAGGATTAGAAAAGATTAAAACCAGGATCTAAACTCAAAGCTAAGCCCAAAGAGTATAAAAATCTGTCCAAAATTGTTGATTCGATCCATATGGGGTAGTTAATGAAAACTATAGAAACATAGCACTACATCTAATTGTGGATGAAATGACCTTTTGGCAAGGTGTCAGTGAGTCCCTGTCACAAAAGGATATCAGAGATTAGATGACCGCCTATCAGGAAAATTGGTAAAAGTGATGGGAGGAGGATTTATGTGTCTAAACATGGTCCCCAAACCAAGGAGACCGTCAAAATAACAGGTAGCTCAGGTTAAAAACACAAGTTTCTGGGTTCCAGCTCAAACCACTTCATCATAATTTTAAAAGAAATAAATGTTCCAGGTGATTCTTATGATTTGCTGAGAACCATTAGACTGGGTGATTCTTCAAGTTAAGTCTTTCTACATATGATTCTATTCAGTAACTTGGGCAGTAAATTGAAGGAAGGGAATAGAAGAGGAGCAGCATCAATAAACAAACTTAGCCATTTTGCAGAAAGCCAGCTTTGTAGTTTTCTGATTATGGATGAGACAGGCAGTTGGTGAGTTAAATTTTAAAAGCACAAACTGGCAGGGTGCGGGTGGAAAGCTGAGGCAGGAGGATCACAAGCCTGGGGCCAACCTCAGCAACTTAGTAAGGCCCTAAGCAGCTTAGTGAAGCATCTCAAAATAAAAAAATAAAAAGGACTGGGAATGTGGCTCTGAGGCTAAGCTAAGCACCCTTGAGTTCAATCCAAGTACCACAAAAAAAAAGCACAAACTGGAATCAAAATCTGATTTTCAAATTCTGCCTCTCCAAATAACTGACATGTCACTTTGAAAAAATTTCTAAGCCTTGGTCATCTTCATCTACAAAATGGGGATGATAATTCCCTCTTCATGGTTGTTTTCAGTACTAAAAGATAGAATATACAACAAGGCATCTGTACTATGTACCTACTATAATAGTAGGAATAATTCAAAAAGACTTCTGTGATAACACTGGAACACAGATTTAAATCCTCAGAAGGTCACAAYGCTAACCCAGCAGAGTTCACTTATGTTTCACAGATAAAGACATATGCCGTGTGAAAAGCATGACAGAATTGTCATAGGCTTCTTAATTGAGAAAACTTCAGTCCTCTAGGAGACTTATTTTCTCATTAAAATTAATTCCATTCATGCCTCATCAATTTATATTTGCTGCATACCATTCATCTTTTTTGTTTTACAAGTACTAAATGATGCTGAAATAACTATTAACCAGGAATCCAGCAAGACACAGAACAGAAAGTACAGAGAAACTGAAAAATCTGTAGTGAAATTCAAAGGAAATCATGTACAGGGAAAAGGCAGCCACAATTTAGCATTCAACTATAAAAGTCATAAGTAGCAACTTACCTGTTAGATTTTTTTTGTAAGTTTTGTTTCCCAATATAAGTAAAAAGAAAATATTTCTCTTTTTTTGTTTGTTTGCTTTTAACAAGCAAGCACACCAAGAAGCATTAGGACATCTATAAATAATAGATCCCATTACTGACTCTTTTTCTTTAAAGATAATCAATGGCAGACATTATCAGTTAGTTATATATATAGGAGCAGCCCACTCTCACTATATAATCACTGCTTTTTTTTCTTTCCCGGCTTGACTTAATATTAATAAAATTGTCAAGAATTTAAAATTACCTCACAACTCTATAAAGGAGGTAACTTTTGGCACCATCTTATAAATTAAGCAAGCAAATCTTGGACAGATTAAGTAACTGGCTGAAGGTTATGGGGCTAATAAATGGCAGGGCTCAAATTTAGTCAAATCCAGACAAGCTCTTAAGGACTTTTACTATACCACCTTCCTGACTTCCTCCTACTCTCTTCAGTATTAAGTGTTTCTACACATACACCCCTTCACTCCCTTTAGCCTAATCCTAACATGATCCATAGAGGTCTCTCTGACTTCACTCTGCCATATAAGCAATCTATCACTTGCCCTTGGTGAATTACTCTTGTCCAAGTGACAATTAACCTAAAGAAGCAGTCTGATCTACTTACCAGCACGGCCCGAGTCTACCTGTACTACTAGCCCATCCCATTTACTCATTCTTTTCTTTTATGTTCAATACTAGGGATTGAATCCAGGGGTACCTATCATTGAGCTACATACCCAGTCCTTTTTATTTTTAGACAAGGTCTTGCTAAATTGCTGAGCCTGGCCTTGAACTTGCAATCCTCCTGCCTCAGCCTTCTAAATCTTGGGATTACAAATATGTGCCACCATGCCCAGTTTACCTGCCTTTTACTTGGGAGAGGAATCCAGGACCTCTTTATACAATTTCTGGCTTATACCCAGGTCTTTTCTCTCCTAGAGACACGAAGTAAAAGACTGCAAAGATCAACAGTATCTGCAAAATTTAAAGTAGGTCTGGAACTAAATGATAAGATTAACTATGATGGCTTCTCAATCCTCACCACACCACTCTGCAAGGTAGGTATTATCCCTGAATCACAGAGGAGAAAACATGCTCACAGAGTTATATAACTGCTCAAAGACACAAAGCTGATCAGAAATCAGGATATGAACCTGTCTGTGATTCTCATGTCCATGCCAATAATATTCCAATGCTTCCACCCTGATTACCTACAGTGTGTCTCAGAACCTTGGGGGCATAGTTGGGGAGAATGGGACACAGAATAGACCAAAAATCAAAAGGTGAGAAGATATCTGAAAGGGCTAAGAAAGGACAGATGTGCTTATAAAATAATACAGAAAAACAAAAAGAGGAATTCCTGAAGGAAGGCTTTAATATATACATAGATAAAACATTTCAAAGTTAAATGATTATAACACCAAGAACTCATATAACTAGTCATTTCTAAGTTTCTACCCTACTGATCTTACTTTCTACCATAGTACATACTATCTGAAAAATGCTGCGTGTCTTCTTCCACTCTCCATATCACTATATATATTTGGCATGTATTCTTGCAAATATTTAAAAATGCAGAGTTGGAACTCTATATGTATTGATTTCACATTCATGGATTCAACCAACCATAAATTGAAAATATTTGAAAAAAAACTGCATCTGTACTGAACATCTACAGATTTCTCATTATTCCAACATTATAGCATAATGACTATTTAATAGCATTTACATTATATTATGTATTATAAGTAATCTAGAGATAACAAAAAGTATAGGAGGATATTCACAGGTTATATGAAAATACTATGCCATTTTATACAAGGGACTTAAGCATCTGTGGATTTTGGTATCTACACAGAGATCCTGGAACCAACTCCCATGGATACCAAGGGATTCTTTTTCTATATACGTACCTATAGAAAATATATTCA